TTTAATTTATTAGTATTCATTAAGGCAAAATTACCATTTCTCCAACAAAATATCCAACAGCCCCCCCAAAAGGCAATATTGACTAAAAACTCAAAATTAATAAATAAATCAATAAATCACAAAAAAAAATAGGTTGGCCAACCTTACGTATCGTGAATTCGGGAGAGGTAGCTTTCGGCTTTGAACCTTTCCTTAGTGAGTTCATCGCCACCTGAGGGACATAATGGACTAAGCCTTGAATTAGGTCCCTTGAATTATGTATTGATAAAAACACACACAATACGTCTTTATCTATTAAGCAAAGCGGGTTGAGCGTTAAAGACCATGCTCACAATAAACTAACTCATGAGAGTTTCTAGGGGTCAGCCCTGCCCCCCCTCCCAACCGTGGCCATCACGGTTCCTCTCACGTAGGTAAGTCCTCAAAGGATACTACAGTTGTTTATTTAATACCCTCCATAATACACACGTTAGACTTATTAAGAGTAAAACTCAGCCTAGCCAGCTGTATCATAAGAGCATCGTCATCATAGAGAAGGGGTAGTAGCAAATGCTACATAATGATATATAAATATATCTAGGTCGATGCTCCACACGAAAGTCACTTGTCCAGCTTGTTTCTATCACATTGAACCAACATTAGGACTATGTCTCCAAATAAGGGTTGGGTTACCGTTATCAGTGACCTCATCTATGGGCTTAACCCCATCTTCCTCGATGAATCCAGAACCACACTCCTGGATAATCCCTTAGTCAAAGGGTTAGCAATATTTTTCTCAGACTTTACAAAGTCCAAGATCACAACTTTGCCTATCAGGCGTTGTATTTATTTATCAAGTTCTTAAATTATTTTGTAATTAGTCATTCATATTGTTTGAAATTGACATTAGGTCATCTTCTTGTTAAGTTATTTAAAATTAGTCTCTCCAGGCAAGAGTACAAGAAGTAAGAGGAGATATTAATTTCAAACAACTTATAAGAATAAGCCTAATAGCAATTTTTATTTTATTTTATTTGATGGCCTAATTTGAATATAACTTCAATGATTTTGAACTTTTATTCATCAAATAGAAAGAAGTTATAAGATATACCTCTTGATTTGATTTTTTAGGACATTGATTTATCACATCTCCTGTAACTAGACATATTAGTTGACAGAGCATATTTATATCAACTCTAATCATTTCCTGAAATCTCAAGAGAAAGTATTATACATGTAGTCAAATGAAGAGCGATAAAATGATTCTTTCTAGTCACTATCAAAACATGTTAGCATAGTTATTGATGTCTCTTATCAAGAAACAATGGATACTAATAATTAGACATTTTCATTTTAAATGTCTAAACAAATTTTGATATGCGTTCATATCAAGTAGAAATCGTAATGATCAAATATTATCAAGGAAGGAATAGAAAACAAAAGCACAAAAGGTTTTGCCATAACTTCCGGTTCTTTGGAACACAATATGTTGTATATTTAAAGAACTAAATCCCAACATTGCTAATAGAACCTTTAGAGTTCAAAAACAATATGTTGTATATTTAAAGAACTAAATCCCAACATTGCTAATAGAACCTTTAGAGTTCAAAAGATAGAGGAATCAATTAAATCCCAACATTGCTAATAGAACCTTTAGAGTTCAAAAGATAGAGGAATCAATTTAGCAACAAAAAAAAAATAAACAGCATTTTTGAATGCAACATGTAACCATAAAAGGTCATGGTTTATGAGCATAAAAGATCGTATTCTATGTCTGAAAATGTAACTGCATTAAAGAGCATAAAAGGTCATGGTTTATGAGCATAAAAGATCGTATTCTATGTCTGAAAATGTAACTGCATTAAAGAGAACTAAAATACTTTAGTTATATCTTCACATGCATGCATATGCACATATAAGAATGAAATTACTAACAGTTACATGCAAAGCATTCAAGGGATCCTTATAATAGGATTTCGTATCTTAAAATATATTTCACTACATATGCATAAAATTTTTAAAAATTTTCTATTATAAGAGGTTGAAAATTTGAAGGAAAATTTGGTTGCCTTCAAAGAGACCATCCAAATTTAAATTGGTTGTCTACAAAGGAGACCATCCAAAATTACATGGCCATTTTCTAGTATCACCTCTTAAACACATAATAATAATAATATTATTATTATTTGTACATACGTACTTTAAATTTTTACAAGTGCATTCTTGCATAAAACCTTGTAATTAATCATGTAACAAATGCAAGTTATCTAAAAAGACATATGAACATTTATTGCAATATCCATCATGATGCAATAAAGGAGATGAACTTTACATTTGAAGATTTGAAATATAATCTATCATATAAAATAAAATTTTAAAGATGCACCTCTTTGATTTGGTTCGCTCATATATTGATCATTTATCATTAGGCAATATATGATGCAAGAAGCGTAATTAAATAAATGCATATGAATTTTTCTCATAATTCCGGTCCTCTTATTCCAAACCAAAAACTCCTAAAGCGAAAAGATTAAAGTTTTACCCGGGTAGTTAGCCAGGTAAGAATAGTAATAGAGATTGATCAAAGATCAATTAAGTACCTCGTTCCTTGCAGAGCACGTTACGTAACCCCTAAACATTGCCTTAGACACCAACTAATCCAAGAAAACTTGAATCGGTTCACTCAATGAGTTTTTGTTCCTTAACAGTATATAGAAACTTTAAAATATTTCCTGCAAGCATTTAATTTGCCTAGCAATTATACTGTAAACATATGTTGGATAAGGCCGAGGAGGGGTTTACCTATTGATGTTCGAACCTCATGATTTTCATGTCTTGAGAGTAAAAACTCATCTACTGCAGACAACTGACACTTAAGTTGCTGAACAAATATGCATTCACTTTTACCACCTTTTGTACTAAGCTTATTAGATGCATAAGCACTCCAAAGTATGGAATTATTAATAATAGAAGGTACCATATTGATAGGTTAAAGAAATGAAAGCATTAAACCATGAAAAAATCCAGATATTTCAAAGCATCTATGCATCCAGAGTTTGTTCTCTTTATTCTTGTCAAAACCATGTATATGAAATTTTCAAGAATAAATATGTACACTGCTGCAAATTTATAACATGTTTCAAATGCGTGCATATTCACTAGCACAAGGGGATAAGGGTAGGTTTTAGATGATTCTAACAAATATAAACTAGGCTTTTAGAAACCAATAAAGGTTCTATTAGCAGAGTGCAAAAGATAAGAATGTATACATTAGAGGGGAAAACAAATTATTTGGGTGTTAGACAAGATCTCACGTCCCACCATCCCCACACAATGATGATGAATAATAAATAAATTTCATCAAGACGCATTATATGCTAATTAATTTACATAAAAGCTAAGCAAAAGTTTGGTCAACAAATAATTAAGCATGAAAGGAAGAAACCTTTACTTCCAACGGATGAAACGTACATTACACAAAATACTAAACAATAATATGATCAAATGCAGTTAATATATATTACACATACTAATATGCAATCTTTCGGATGAACAGTAAAAACTCGAATGAACAGTAACAGATTACTTTGAATGAACAGAGTTTTTTTTTAATTTTATTTTATAAATGATTTTCAGATTTAAGAAACAACATCTATAAACTTCTCAATCTTCTAGATTGTTAGAAATATATCAAATAATTAAGATTATAGCATGAAATAAATCCGAAATCAAAATAAATGAGAGATAAGAAAAATTAGGCCTGACGGGAGTAGTCGTGTATTCACTGCCCTAGAAGATTGAGAACTCGCCTATCGTCCTGACGCAGATGGTTCCCTCCCTCCTAGCGGTAAAAGTCCCCGGAAACAGCCGGCCTCTGCACTCGGGCGAGAGTGCAGAGCTTCAGCTCAGATGAAAGAAGTTGCCCATAAAATAAAATTAAGATGTATATGAAAATAATATGTAGGGGAGAAGAAAAACAAGAGAAACTTGTTGTATATTTTTTCTTATTATTTTGAGCTTAACATACGGATATATATATATATATATATATATATATATATATATATGGTTGGAAAAGACGTTACCAAACCCGTAATTAATTCTGTAACGTTTGTCATAATGTATAGCCATTATGCTCATTTTAAATTCTAATTAAAGCATATTTTAATTACAAAATTTATTAGTATTCATTAAGGCAAAATTGTCTTTTCTCCAACAAAATATCCAACAACCAACTCATAACTATCTCATAAAGGTTGACAACCAACTCATAACATTAACAACCAACTCATAAAATTAACAATCAACTCATAACCTAACAACGAACTCATAAGAAAATTAAAAGTGAAATGCTTACACATTTTTTGGAGAAATTTGAGTGTTCTGAGAAGTTGAGGATTCCCTAGCAGAGGTAGCATACAAGTTTATGTCTGTAAATCCATTACGATGACAATACTGGAACATCAACCTCAAGTCGTTGCCATCATCAATTGCAAAACTGAATTTTTTCCCCCTTTCGGATATGAATTTTAGTGAAAGAGATTGTAATAGTAGTTTAAGCATTTGAGACACTTGATATTTCAAGCTAATGATTTCTGTAGACTCATTGATAACTATGAAAACACTCTCACCCTCTTTGTTGTTTTTTGTGTTTGTAACCATGCAAAAAAAGGATCCATCCGTCATTTTAAAGAAAAATAGTTGAAAAATCAAAGAGATTTTATTGAGGAGAATTAAGTGGCCGGGAGAAAGTAGTTGTGGGTGAGCAAAGAGGATTTATTGAGAGGGAGAAGATGGATGAGATGGATTTACTGCAGGGGAGGAAATGAAATAATTAGAATTTAGAGGGAAACGAGGTTTCTTTTCCCTCCAAAATTACTTTTTAATCACCATTAATATCTACAGTACTAATGTTCCTTCTCCGATGACCGGCTTGATAGAGCGAATCGATTGCTTGAGCGTATTTTGATCTTGTCGTGTTTGAAAATACACGTGTCACATGAGAAGGGTTTTGGGAGCTAATGGAATGTAAGAAAATATTCTTTTAAGATCGTTAAAAAAGTAGAGGGGAAGGGAGGGCGGAATACTTGTAAGGGATTTGGGGGCTGGAAGCAATTTTTCACTTTGTCCAAATTCGGCCGGCCAGCAAACAAAGCGCGTCCGCTTTCCCCGCGTGTTTCGACTCCGGGCTTCTCAACGCTGTTTCACTTCGATACTCGTTTCCCCGCCGTCAGAGATCCTTCCTCAATTCATCTAAATTTCTTATTTGATCTCATATCTCAATTTCCCCCAATTGCCCCCCTTCCTCATCTTCAACCAGGATGCTCAAAACCCTAGAAAAATGCTGCAAATCTAGGGTTTTATGCGATCAGCATCGACTCGTACACGTGATCATCCCTCGTTTCTCTGAGCCTTGTATCCCCAATAAGAATGCCTGCTCTTTTTCATCTGATTCATACATTGGAGCTCCAAACCCTAACTCTGTCCCTAGTTTGGTCAAATTGGGCGACGACTCCAGTAAAAACCCTAATCCAATCCCCAGCTGCAACTTCGGCGAGGTCAATGAATTTGACAACAAAGGCGAATCGGAAACAGATACCGAGGCCGAGGACGGCGTTGATGAAGATGACTTCAAGGTGTTAGATTTATTCAGCAGAAGAACCGATCCCAAGCGAAAAAGCGAAGCCTTTGTTGAAGAAAGGGACGAATCGAAGCACCCTTTAGTTAAAGAAACCTGCAGATTGATTGGACTTAGTCACATTTGGACTCCGAAGCTCGAAAGCGAGCTCAAACGCTTACTCAGAAGCCTCAACCCCCAACAGCTCACTGCTGTTATCCGTTGTCAGTCCGATGAGAGAGTTGCAGTCAATTTCTTCTACTGGGCTGATCGCCAATGGAGGTATCGTCATCCTCCTGAAGTCTACTATACTATGCTTGAAGTCCTTAGTAGGACTAAACTTTGTCAGTCATCGAGGAGAATTCTAAGATTGATGATTCGAAGAAGAATTCCTCGGTCCCCTGAATTATTTGGGTTCTTGATGGTTTCTTATAGCCGAGCTGGTAAGCTTAGGAGTGCAATGAGAGTGCTGAATTTGATGCAGAAAGACGGGTGTGCCCCTGATTTATCTATATGTAACACTGCGATCCATGTGCTTGTGATGGCCAATCGATTGGAGAAGGCTTTGAAATTTTTGGATAGGATGCAGCGGGTTGAGATTGTACCTAACGTTATTACGTATAATTGTTTGATAAAAGGTTTTTGTGATGTTTATCGGGTTGAAGATGCATTGGAGATGATAAGAGAGATGTCGTTTAAAGGTTGTCCTCCCGATAAAGTTAGCTATTATACGGTGATTAGTTTTTTGTGTAAAGAGAAGAGAGTTGGAGAGGTGAGAGAGTTGTTGGAGAAGATGGAGAAAGATGCTAACTTGTTTCGTGATCAAGTAACATACAATACTTTGATTCATGTGCTTTCAAAGCACGGGCACGCTGATGAAGCTCTTGAGTTTCTGACAGAAGCAGAGAAGGAAGGGTTTAGGGTCGATAAGGTTGGATATAGTGCAGTTGTGCATTCTTATTGTCGAAATGGGAGGATGGACGAGGCAAAGGATATTGTCAATGAGATGTTTTCAAAGGGTTGTGATCCCGATGTTGTGACTTATGGTGCTGTTGTTAATGGATATTGTCGTATAGGAAAGATTGATCAAGCACGAAAATTGATGAATCACATGTATAAAAATGGGTGTAAGCCTAATTCAGTTACGTATACCGCACTTTTGAATGGATTGTGTAAATTTGGTAGCTCAGTGGAGGCTAGAGATATGTTGAATAAAAGCGAAGAGGAGTGGTGGACTCCGAATGCTATTACTTACAGTGTGGTTATGCATGGGCTTAGGAGAGAGGGGAAGCTAACAGAGGCCTGTGATTTGGCGATGCAAATGATAAGCAGCGGGTTTTATCCTACTCCAGTGGAGATTAATTTACTGATTCAGGGACTTTGTAGAGAGAAGAAGGCAGGAGAGGCGAAGAAGTTCATGGAGGATTGTCAGAGCAAAGGTTGTGTAATTAATGTGGTAAATTTTACTACCATAATTCATGGATTTTGCAAAGAGGGCGACTTGGAATCTGCTCTGTCTTTGCTTGATGATATGTATTTAAGTAATAGACATCCTGATGTTGTAACTTATACAGTTATGGTGGATGCTTTGGGAAGGAAAGGGAGGCTTGAGGAAGCAACTGCTCTTATAAAAAAGATGCTACAAAGAGGATTTCTTCCTTCTCCTGTTACGTATAGGACTGTTATCCATAGATATTGCGAGAAGGGTGCAGTCGATGAGCTACTTAAGTTGCTAGAGAAAATGCTGATCAAGCAGGAATTTAGGACTGCGTATAATCAGGTCATAGAGAAACTTTGTGCCTTTGGTAAACTTGATGAAGCCTACAAAGTTTTAGGAAAAGTTTTGAGAACAGCCTCCAGGATTGACGCTGAGACATGTTGCATATTGATGGAGAGTTATTTGAGAAAAGATATTCCTCTGCAGTCATATAAAGTGGCTTGCCGGATGTTTCAGAGGAATCTGCTTCCGGATATCAAACTGTGTCAAAAAGTGAGTGAGAAATTGGTGTTCGAAGGGCTCCAGGATGAGGCTGGAAGGCTTATGACCAAGTTTATTGAGCGGGGTCACCTTTTACCTCAACATCAATAGCAGTGCCTTTCAATTTGTGGAATTAGAGAATTAGCTAAGGGGCGCCATCATCAGGCCCAGATACCCAGAAACATGCATCTGCAATTGGGAGGAAGATAACAATTATTGGTACCAAACTAGACAATTTGGGGATCCATTTTGTCAAAGCTTGCAGTGAACAGCCTAAGTATGCAGTTCATTCTTTCTCATGCTTATTACTTTTTTGAAAAGGAGAGATATGTTTTCGTGTATTAATTTTTTGCATCAACACTTCACATACTTGTTAGCAAAGGGTTAAAAGGTATATGTAGCTTTTGTAGTTAACAGGTCACTAAATGAACTGCAGCTTAATAATCTTGTTTCATTGATCAAATGCTGCAAAAACTTTTGTTTAAATCCATCAAATTCAGTGTTGAAGTGTGGAATGATTAGCGACTTGGCATTCATTTTCCTGACGCTGGATTATTCTGATAGTTTATTCCTGAATAGGTTGCATACTTTGTTACAATGTTCAACTTGGATTCCCATTTCATATGGTAACTGAAGTTTTTCATTGCATTAGAGACACAGGCTGCTAAATTTCCTAGTAACTTACAGTATTTTTTTAGTTTGCTGTGTTTGGGCTGGTCAAGTTTTGCATATTTGTTCTCTGGTCAGGTTGCTGTTACGATCCATTTCTTTTGTCTATGTGATCTGCTTATGCTAAACAACCTTTATCTGTCAAAAAAAAATTTACCTTGCTGTAACATGCTTTCAATTGAATAAAATTCCTGCAAGGTTGATTCAAAGTAATTATACAAGTATTACAGTTGATATTTTGACATACTTGGTACCTGGTCAGTCTTCTTCTTTTGATGTGAAGTTTGCTATTGCATCCTACTTATGATAATATCTTCATTTAACATAACTGAAAGGAATACTTTGATAATCTGGTTTTTTTAATACCGTAAACAATTTGAGTTTTTCATGGTAGTGTAGTATGTCATGCTTAATCGAATTGCATTTGAGTGTCTAATTTCAAACAAAACTAAACCTCGACATGCTCATTTATACCTGTCATTCAGGTACAAGGAGTTCCAAAAATGGCAAGATACGCCTGCAGATTTGAGGTCTAAAGCAGAGCAGATAGGTTCTGCATTGGACGTGTCCAATTTTGCTAATTGGTAACATTTTTCACGAAGAAATTTGTTTCTGCTGATAAATCATATTATTGTGTATTCTAATCCTGGTAATCATTTCATGTTGTTTTCAGTTTCAGTTATTTCTGTCATTGACAATAGAATTAACTTTTTTGGTGAAATTTTAGAAAGACTTGTTTGGACCTAGTAAAATATCAGTTGATGAGATAAACTGAACCTAAGGTTTGGACAACTGTGGCATTGCCGGATTACAACATCAGATTATGAAAGGTATCTTTACTCAAATTTTTTATATTTACGGGTTTAAATTCGACTTTATGATTTTTTGAAACCTTTATCGTGTGCATATAGAGCAAGATCAGAGCCTTGAAGATCAGGAGCAAATGGTCCATAGCGTGCGACATATTGCCTCGACAATTAATGAAGTCTTGAACCTTCACGATAAACTGCTAGTATGTTGTAAACGATTAGATTACATCGACCAAAACATACATATTTTTGCAATTTTTGTTGGCACTGGTCCGGTTCATTTTATTTATTTATGCAGGATAGCTTGGACCAACATGTGGATGGACAACCTCGAGGCTTCATGTAGGTTCAGTCCCTTCTTATTTGCTAGTACAGTATCCAAATTTTCTATGGTAAAAAATTAAATGTATAACAACGCTCTATGGTTGCAAATCTATCCTTTGAATTTATTACATGCCATAGAGGCCTTTGTAAGAATGTACTTTAATCTGAAGCCTTCACTGAACTAATTGAGAATAAAAGTGAAATTCGGAGTTAAACCTTCAGGAATCTGAACTTTTATAAAGCTTGTTTCCAGGAAACTGTCCTGATATCTGATTGAATGGTCACAAAACCCCCAAATTCATAAAACCCTGCCCCTGAACTTTGTTTTTCCCACAAAATCCCCGGAACCCCCAAGAGTATCAAAGAACCCCCAAAACTTTTAACTTTCCCCCCACCGCCAAAACAAGCAAGGAGAAGAGGAGAAGATGACACCAGGTGAAAATAAGGAAAGAACACAATCGGATAGATTAAAAGGTCCTCCAAATGCAAGAGACCTTTTGGGGGTTTTCTTGGGAAAAATAAAAATTTGGCGGGTTATTGGAGACACTTTGGAGCTTTGGGGGTTTACTAAGAAAAAAAAAGTTGGGGAATTTACTTTTTTTTTTGGTCGGTGGGGTGGTTTGGGTTTTGCCTTTTTTTTGGTTGGTTCAGATTCAGTAAGAACATTTGCTGCGTATTCAGAAAACATAGTAGATATTATGAACTGTCTATTAAGTGTTAATGCAGCGTGTGAAAAAGATACTGGCTGTTCTAAATAAATGAACAAAAGCAGGTTTAATTTTCATGTGGACGTCTTCTCCCGTTAGTTGTTGTTATTTTGATTCTGGCTGCAGTTGCTTGGGCTCTCGTAAAATACCTGTAAGTTTTGCGAGCAATGGAAATTCTTTGGGAGATGTATCTCCATTGCGTATGAGAAATGACCATCAGAATTGACTCTTGATCTGGGTTCGGTTGAGGAGTTCATGCAAAAATCCCAAGCGTTCATATTTAAAACCTGAGTCATTGTTTAGAGCCTGGTTGTATATATATAATTGTTGGTCTCAACGTTTTTTGCATGCATTTGCCGTCTTTTCTCATATTCATAAGCAGTCACCAAAATAAATTCTGCTTGTTACCTTAGGAAGCTGATACCGTCAGATTATGATGGATGCTAAGTTGCAAACTATTCAGAGAATATTAATTTATGGAAAGCAGATATGATCTATCATTGGATTAGTGTAAAATAGGAAGATTTGAGTGAATGCGTTAAACCAAAACCCGTTTTTCTTGGATCATTAGTCGTCTAATGGACATATATCATTGTATGCTTTTCTGTAAACTACATCAAGAAGATTATTGGACAACTGTTTGAAATGATTCCAAATAAGTATCCCCGTAATATCTCCATTATTTATACTTGACCTGTGACTGCTACGTAACATGCCAGTTTCATAATTACATTGAACAAACTTACCTCTTCATAACTCCCTACCCAAAAGATAACAACGTTTATTTACAAACCGAAGCATATGCAAGCAGCACTGAAATCTCTTTATCTTTGCTGCCTCTGTACCATCTCGTCAAACTCCTCATCAGTGCTCTTCAGCATCACAGGCAACGGCATCTTAACCCCTCTCTCCCTCGTCTCTTGATATCTTGGCTTTATCCTCTTCTCCAAACTGAAAGCAAAGTACTGTGGGAACTCCTTCAACTCCTCCAAACTCCCTCCCATCTCCTTCACAAAATACTCGTGCTTCGGCTTAAAATTATTCTCCACGCTGAAAGTAAAAAGCCCGGGGCACCTCAGAACCATACCCACGGCCTCTTCTCTGGTCAGCCCCAGCCCCATCAAATACCCGAGCTTAGGAACCAAAGTCTTCTCCACGCTAGAAACCAGGAGCACGGTATCTTGATACGCCAATGCGTCCGTGTCCTTGAATCCCAGCCTCTTAAGGTAAATAAGCGCAGGCCGAAGCTGGTCTCTAACACTTGAGACGAGCAACCTTGGGCACTTGTTGATGACTTTCCGAAAGTTGTTGTCGGGTACTCTCATGTCTTTTGAGAGGAAAGTGAAGACCGGGATCAGATCGGAGCGGACGTTGGAGGTTAGGATTTTCGGGCACATGCCGAAGATTCTGGCGAAGTCCTTGTGGTGAATGCCTTTGGATTGAAGGTAGGAGATGACGGAGTGGATGGAGTCTGGAGTTGCGTCACGGAGGTCAGGGTTTAGCGAGAGAGCTCGAGAGGAGTCGATGCCCATGATTTCGAGGCTGATGATTTTCTCCTTGAGAGAAGTTGGGAGGTCAGGGAGAGTGAAGGAGAGCTCGGTAGAATGATGGAAGGCTTTACATAGATTTGATGGCTTTGGAGTGAGAGCGGCTAAGCTATTGGAGAATGAGGAGGGAATGAAGAGAGAATGGAGTTGTGGCATGATGAAGATGATGATGGGGTGTCACGTAGCAGGAATTGGGTAGTCAGTTTGATGCTTTTATCGGTTGTATTTTTTTTTATTTTTGGATAGGAAATGAGTGACGTGGGAGCATGATGATTACTCATTGGTGGGGGGAGAGATTTCACATATATTACCTGATAAGCTGTAATGCATCGGCATTGGAGGCAGGTAAAGGGCCGTCTCAACGCAGGAGCCCAAATAACATAAGCCGCTCGTTTCCCATGACGCAGCCCAGCCCCGCCCGCCGCCACCCGCCAAGCACGGCTCCCCGAAAAAAATGAGGGGGGAAAAAGAAAAAAGACTGCATGAGGATGAGGTAAAAGAACCAAGAATGAGTTGGCTTTGAATCCTTTGATCACGCAATTATGGAATTACAAGGAAACAGGCTTTCATAGCCTCCTGTGGTTTATGCATCTCATTTGCGAGTGGCGAAATGAATGCTAGTTACAAAGTGGTTTTCAATTCTTTGAACTTTTGATACGACAGGAACAGAGGAAATGCTGATCACATAATCATAATGCTGATCACATAATCAGATCATACTCTCTTTAAAAGTACAAGTTCAGTAAAATTTTTCCATGGTCAATATTACCCTTAATTTTTTTTAAATATTACATTGTTGTCCCTTAACTTTTTTTAAAATATTACATTGGTGTCCTAATAAATTCTAATTATCTTATCTTCTTTGAATTGGTAATTAAATAATTTAACATATACATAATGAGACTTATCATGTTGTTGGATAAAGAATATAGTTTGATATAATTCAAATCCTTTACTTATTTCAGTTCGTAGAAAATCTAAAAGACATGCTAGTCAGCACTTAAAAATTTCTAGATTTCGTAAAAAATATCCTCCAAGCTTTTTAAATTGCAAAAACACCCCTACAAATTTAAAATTTTATTAAAACATCTTGAGAATAGTAAATTTTACTTATTTTAATTTAGTGAGAAATCTGAAAACATATGTTAACTAGAAACTAAAAGTTTTCTTACTTTAGAGAAAATATCTTGTAAGTTTTGATAATTACAAAAACACTCCTAAAAATTCAAAATTTATAGAAAACACCTTGAAAATTTTAAACTTATAAACGCACTAAAAACCTACAAATAATACAAACAACTCCCAAAATTTCATAAAATTTAAAATAAACACTTTGAACTTTTTACAAATTGCAAAATAAAACCCGCAAAATTGTAAAATTTAAAAAAATCCTGATAATTTCCAACTTAACAGTACATTAAAAATATAAGAATTACAAATACCCCTACATAATTTATATAATTTATAGTAATCAATCCTTAAAGTTTAAAAAATTATAAACAAATCATTAAAATTCAAATTTTACAAAAAACACCCTGAGAATTTCAAACTCATTATTAAATTGAAAACATAGGAATTATAAATTATCTATAAATAATTTACAATCTATAAAAAAGAACTATAAGTTTAAAAATTTATAAAAACCCTTAAAATTCATAATTAAAAAAATACCATGAGAAGATCTAACTTATAGACACTAAAATGAATATACAAAACCAATAACAACCCCTAGAAAATTAAAATTTTGTAAAAAATATCATACTCCCTTTAAAAGTATATGTTTAGGAAAATATTTTCATGGTCAATATTACCTATAATTTTTTGAAAAAGAACATAACTAATTGAAAATCTATTAAATTTGAAACTTATAAAAAAAACACTCTAAAAGTTTAGAATATTGCAAATTACCCCTCCAAAGTTTGAAAATTTTCGATGATATTTGTAATTCCTTAATTTTAATGTAATGTTTAATAGTTTTGTGTAAGTATAAAATATAAAATTTTAGAGTTTGTTTTATAATTTTTAAAACTTTTAAGGGTGTTTCTTTTTTAGTTTTCTAAATTTTCATTGTATAGATACATCAATTAATGATGATATTGAAGAGTAAGTCGTTCTAAAGATGTATTAAGTCATAGTTAAATAGGCACATCACTATTCCTAGACAGTATAGTTTATATATGTAAAAAAATTATACAATCTATATAGTTGCTAAAAGGATTTTGACTTTAATGTATTATGTTTTTAAAAACTATATTTAATGCGAACCCACCATATAATTTTAATTGTGGTCATCATAATTTTAATATATTTCATTAATTGACTATATAAGTATATAGAATATAGATTACTTTACTTTCTCACATAAACTAATATTTGGTGCTTAATAATTTAAATTATTACTTTTAAATTTAATATAAAGAGAAGCTCTAATAATATTTGTTTATTTACTTATAGGATAATACAATCTCAATTCCTTTTTTCCTTGAGATTTATTCCATAATTACGTGCATCAAATTAGTAACTAAATTAATAATTATTTATGCTTATATTTATGCTTATATTAGGATGATTGTAGTTGGTCACTCGCTATGGAATTTTCATGAAGATATATACTTTACTTTCTATAACTATCTGCACTGTCCATGTATATCTTATAAATTAGTTGTTAATTTAATATATTAAATTACTTTTCCTTTATAAAAATTTCTTTTTTGACTTTTGGATTGTGTAATTACTATATCACCATCCTAGCGTAGAAAGAACCTCACTCTAAATGGCTTCAAGCCAATGTTTGAGTTGAACTAAAATATATACTATTGCCACTATGTGTATATATTTTTAATGAAAATCATGTCAACACTTTTTAAACAGAAGATGATATTCTAACCTTTGATATTATACAAACTAAATATAGCCAATTGAGTGATTAGCAAAAGAGAACTTACATCAGAAAAATATGAATAATAAGATAAAAATGATAGGTAATGATATTGCCAACAACAATACCAATAACAAACAAAAATGTAAAGTTAACATATTTTGTGGAGCCAAACTACTGACTATAAACATCGAGGTTTCCACATTTATACTTTATAATTTATTAAAAAGGGTCATATAATCTTATATATAAAATTAATTTAATACTGAATAAAAATATCGTTGTAATAATATCGTTATTAGGGGAAATTCTTCATGAACTAGTATGTTCTTTATGTTATATAAGCTATGCACTCCAAATTCTTGTGTCTTTGATAAAGTTAAAATTTTTGAAAACAAGCCTAGACAATTGAGTTATAATAGCATTTTTAATTCACATCGTTTGGACCAAGATTTAATAAGAAACTTGCATCAAAGTTTTTTTTTTTTGTATTTAGAGCACATGATGAATTATATCATAATCCCGCTGCTCTAATTCCGAAAGAAAATAATTCTTCATATTTTCAGTTTTATTTCTATGATACGAAGAATGAGCTATAAAATTGAATGATAATATTAGATAATGTAAATATGAGAGAAACCATAACTAAAAGTTAATGTGAACATGAGTCAAACCACAAGTAAAAGTTTAATGGACATATTGCAAGTAAATTCATATGCAAAATTCCTTCTACCCAGTTTTTGAAGACTTCAATATACTAATAAATAGAGATGTTGTACTAGATCAATGTGTTTATAACTCACAAATAGTAGATCACGTGACCACAGTCTGGGTTGAAGAAAACAATAACAATATTTCATTTGAAAGAGAGATTATTGAGTTGATGATCAATCCCAAAAAAAAACTTTATTTTTTTATTTTTACTCTACTTTTATCAATTTAAATAATCATGGAATTCAACCACGGGCATTGCACGATGCATCTCAATTAGTACGTACAAAATTCAAGCCATATATGTAACAAAACTAGTTGGATTGCACGTGCAATGCACGTGGTAAATTTTTAAATAAATTTCATTAGCAAACAAATATCATGTCAGAACAGAATATGTTTCAAGAGTAATATAACAGGACCAACCACCACGAGCAACAAATGAGAAACATATACATATACACACCAACATAGCAATTAATGTCATGTACACTTCAGCTTCACCAGCCAAAAAAATCCTTGGAACGACTTAAGGATGGAAGGCATTGTGGCAAGAGCCACCTGCAAGCAACATAGTTTATTTAAATGTCTGATATGTGTTGCCAGTAAAATTATAGTTACTTCCATGTAAAAATATGAAAGGATGAAAGACATATGTTTATATTAATGAACAAAATCTGGTACTAAGAAAGTTAACTTAAAGCACATGTCCAAATAAACTGTATTGATATATAGTGTGAACTGAGTAGCATACTTTGATTTGCACATAAAACCTCATGAGGAAAGGTAACGAAAATAAATGAGAGCATATCCAACAAAACATCCTGCATAATAATTTAACTGGCCATTACAATAATAAACAAGAAGCATCCTTATAACTGCCACGGGCAATTAGAGCCTTACAACTATATACAGTAGTTTCATGAGCTCAAAATACTCTGCGACTGGCTGCGAGTTCTTACCGTAGCCCCCGCATTCCTTCCTTTTGTTTCAAAACGAAGTGAGCAAGTGCGCGAAGGTTCAGAAGACCGATTACTTGATTTTAAGAAAAGATCTAGATTCTTCTGGTATTTCTCCGTGTCTTCAGAACTCACCATTGAATCATGTTCTGAAGACCCCTTCTCAAATGTTAGTTTGTCTTCTTCGTCATCGGACCATTAACCGTTGTCTTGGCTATCTCGCATGGCTAGGTCTTCGTACTCTTCATCAGACTTGGTTGAGTCTTCATCAACGGAGCCCTCCATTTCCATTATATATTAGGAAAAAGCAATCAAACCGGCATATATTAGGCAGTGATTCCATTATTCTCATTCGAAAACACTGTTTGGCGAACTACTATCCTTAAAGTTTTTTTTTAATCAAACAATCAGGAGCAAGCGTGTTACTTTTTATTTACTTATTCACTTACTATCATTTAAAAAATTTACTACAGAAAGAGCAACTACTATAAATTACCGCCCTTCATTTATTTACTTACTATCTTGATGCTAAAAATAATTTACACTGAACATCTCATCTGGTACCGAAAAGGGTCTTGAATTCATACCTCTTCAAGTATAATTTCTTTCTTGTCTCCGTTGCTTAAATCATCGTCATCAATTCATACATAAACTGGGTCGTCATCTCCTTCTTCTTCGCTGCTTGACACTGATAAATCTTCCTTAAGCTGGAAAAAAGAGAGGAGGTGAATAAAATTTAAGTCACAAAATAACAATTACAACAATCAGAAGGTAAACAGTAATCAGGGAAAGTTCGCAATCCTGCCACAGACAAATTAAAATTTAATTGGAATTTTCTGTCATCTAGCAAGTAGTTACATCATAAAAAGGTGACATCTAATGAGATCTGGTCGTGTATAATCCAGTCTATGGTAACACTTTGTTATCAGTGAAAACAAATGGTATGTATATTGAAATTGATTGTTAATAAAGAAATAAAATTAACAAACAAATGTATATTTTGAATACCTTTCGCAATGAGGGAGCTCAGAACAAAATTGCAGACGATAGGCATAGAGTCCAGATTTCTTAGTCCAGATTTCGCTAGGAGGGAGCTCAGAACAAAGATGCAGATGATAGGCATAGATCTCAGATTTCTTAGTCCAGATTTCGCTAGGAGGGAGCTCAGAACAAAGATGCAGATGATAGGCATAGATCTCAGTCAATCCACACACATGAAAGCCATCATACAGAAATATTTGGCATTACACTTTTGAATAACATCTTATAGAATTTGTCCATGATTTGAATCCTTTTTTTTCAAAGACTCATCAACATAACATTGTGTCGAGATAACCCAAAAATATTTTAAATGCATTTTAAAAGTAATAAAGTCAAGTATTTGTTAAATATGTAGTTAGCTTGACATAATTGAGCGATAAGTTTAAGCTAATAACTGCCAAAAAAATCAAACCATGTAATATTCATGAGACAACTATATGTGCATATGGTTATAATTCATAAATTATTCTAACAAATAACATTCATAAGTTAATCCTCATAAAAGCATACGAAAAGATAAATAAAATTCCTTCAACATATTTGTAAATGTATTGAAAATTTAAAATTGTTCGTATTAAATTTTTTTTTCGTTGATCATTCCTTCTCGACCTTTATCTTCTTTTTTGGTAATTCAAGTACTGCATCATCGTCTTCAATGTTGATTATGTTGTCTTCTTGGAGTTGAATTTCTTGTGCTATTATCTTTCCTTGTGCCCGTTCATCCTTTGAGTTTTCATCTAACTTCACAAGGAACATGTATATCTTTCCAATGTTTAGCACAAACTTTTGGAATGGCGAACTCTGATTATTTTTCTGTTTTAATGAGGAAACAATTAATTAATTATACATGAAACATATGGTTTTATATGTTTAAAATATAATAAAGTAAGAAGTTACCTCTTTTATATCAACCATGAATTTTTGTGCCTTGCATCCTATAAGAGTTTTTGTTGCGTCAAAAAGTGTCACTCTTGCAGAATCCGTCTCATCTTCAACTATGATTTTAACTACATACCTACATTTTGTATTATCATTGTGCATTAGATGATATTTGTATAATTAATTTTTATATTTTTCTTTTATGAGTAATTGATAGTAATTTACCTTGGTATACTGTCTTCATTTGTATTTTGGCAATTTTGACATTTGTCATAAATAGAATTTTCAACCTTTTTGTTGCAGCCTTTGCAAGAGTATATTTTGGCAATTTTGACATTTGTCATAAATAGAATTTTCAACCTTTTTGTTGCAGCCTTTGCAAGAGTAGTACCAAGTCTCATGCCTATTTAAGATGAATAGAATTTTCAACCTTTTTGTTGCAGCCTTTGCAAGAGTAGTACCAAGTCTCATGCCTATTTAAGATGTTAGTTATTTTTCCCGTAAAGGTGCCATATTGTGCCTGTATATTTTTTAAAATTTAGTTAGTTATAATTGTAGTTTATATATATGTAAAAATAAAAGAATTGATTAAATAAATGTAAATGTAAATAAAACAAATAGGAAAATTATTTTAAAAACTAATATAAAATAATAATGGAAAATCAAGTTGAAAGATATTTTTGATAACTTTGAGATATTTAAATTTTATATGATTATGGAAAAAATTTAACCATTATAGTTAAGAAATCACTTCATGTTAATTTTATAGGTTAAAACTTGAATCAAATTTATTTATCTTATCTTGTTTTTAAACTGAAGCCCTTGATTCATTAATATTTTATAATAGAATTTATAATAACATACCCCTAAAGTTGTCCGTGATGCTTGGATAATTTTAGCAATTTTCATTTTTGATACATTTTTGAATAGCTTTGATGGAGGAACAATGGTCTTGATATCATTTTTGGAATGAGCCCTGCATACAAATTAAAAATTTTAGAAATTTAATTTATTAAATAACATTTTATTTGGAATTACCATTCTTGCATGTCCTTAGCAAGCTGTATTTCAGGGTTGATGCATATTGTTGACGCAATTTGCGAAGTCATGCTCATCTCCCCTGAATATTTTATAGTTATAATTAGAATTTGATATTTATTGATAATTAATTTTCAATTTAATAAGAAAAATATTTTACCTTTGTACAATGAAAATTTAAAATCTGATAATGCTATTATAGTTGTGTCATTAATATTTTCTTCGATAATTGAGCCTTCATTTTTAGCTAAATCTCCGAATAAAGTTACATACAATGTTATCCCACTGTTTAAGAAAAAGAAGACATTTTTTGTTAATATATTATATTTTTAATAACTAATTTATTTTGAAATAAAAGCATGTGTGTATACTCTTTATCTATTATGATGATATCTCTCCTTGTGTCCTCCTTATTATATCGTGTAACGTACTTGATCATAGGCTTCACATTGGCTACTATTGCAAGAACATCTGCACAAAAAATTATAAAAAGTTTAAAAATCATTTATAAGTTATAAAATGGAAAATTAAAAGTTTTTTACAAATTCTTATTAATATTCCTTGTATCCTCCCTAGAAATTGCCTCCTTGATTGAGATGAAGTTGTTCAAGATTTTGTCAAATCGGAATTCAGCTTTTGATTCTTTGATAGAGACGTTCTTATTCAATGTCAACTCAATTGACTCATGTACATTTCCGTAAAGCGGGTTGATTTGTTTGACTTCTCCATTTGAGATGTAAACAACTTGGTTCTTCTGAAGCATGTGCTTATACATTTCAATAGTTTCTCCAAACATAACACATTGTATTTTTTGTCCCTGCAAATATTACTAATATTATTTCACAAATAATTAATACATTAACATTCATTTAAGCCTATAATAAAAAGATTGTATGGATTTATATATTATCAAACTCTGCATTATTTTATTAAAGTGACATCGTAATTTACATTGTACAATAAGATAAATGATAGATGATATAAGTCATTTTAAAATTTAATAAATAATTCTATATTATTATAATTTAAAAATCTCTATAAGTTAAATATTTAAATTAGTTTGATCATTCAACTTATTATTAATATTTAAATTAGTTTGATCATTACGTAGAATAAGTTTAAGAAAATGATATTTGTTGTTGAAAATTTTTGAAAATGAATCAAATGTTGTTGTATAGCCTCTTAACTAAATGCAGTATTAATTTATTTAAGAATAAGCATCAACAATTATCAATAGTAATATATTATGTAGAATATTGTTACATCACCTCCGAGTCGGCGAAAATTAGTTTAAGTAGTTTTCCTGAACCTTTACTGTTCTCATAAGAGGATTCAATAGTTCTGACTTCTGAGGATGACTACACGAATGGTCCACTCTTTTTGAAACTTCTTTAATTAGCGTATTTGGATGTGTTGAGTTGGAGCTTCATTGCTAGTTGACATCATGCCTGTAAGATTTTGAATAGTTTGTTATATATAATATAAAAAATAATGCATATGAAGTATTAAATAAACTATAAACTATATATATAGATATATATGAATTTGCTTTAGATTTTTATTTTAATTTATAAATTAAAAGTAGTTATAATGGTTAAAGTAATTTTAATTTAGATTAGGACATGATTGTGAAGGAACAAAATTCATGATGTAATAAGGAAGTGCTTAATTTTTGGAATTTTATTTATATAATAAAACTTTAATAAAAAATTAAGATACTTAATATTATAAAATCATAACCTTCAAAAATGTTATTTGCTATTTGAATTAGTCTGTGAGGTCCGTTGGCTGGAGAACTTCCTTGTATACAATATTCTTTGTGTAGCTTTCCTCTTCTTCAATTTTTCCATCTAATGTTATTAATACTTTGGTTGTCATCATAGAAGTACCCCGCGACAAAGCAACATATAATTGCCTATGAGAGAAAACTGCTTCAGGTAGACAGATACCTACATTAGGTATTGTTTGCCCTTGGGATTTATTAATTGTCATTGCAAAATATAATCTTATTGGAAATTGTTTGCATTTGAACTTGAATGGTAATCATTCATCTTCTGCTGGTGACAATGGTATTCTTGGCAAGAAAACTTCTTTCCCTTCGTGTTGGCCCATTGTTATTTTAGCTTGAATAACATTGTAGTTAAAATCTTGACATATCATTCTTGTACTGTTGCAAAGTCCATTAGTTTGATGCAAGTTCCTCAGTAAAATTATTGGACAATATTTTTTCAACATAAGCTTGTGTGGTGGTAGTCCATTAAGTAGCAGAGTGTTCAAAAATTCTTCTTGATAATGATGATTGTTGTCATCAACTGCTTCATCAAAGATGCAGAATTCTTTTCCTTCTCTTGGAAACTTTTTTATTAGTCTATCATTTAACATGTCAACATATTTATTTTTTGTTGCAAGGATCGCTCTATCTTTCATATACTCAATAGACTTGAAATTCTCATCCAAAGATGGAAAAATTGAATTTATTAGATAATCTTCTGGTAAGTCATCACCTTGATTCTTGATCAACATTGCAGTAGGCAGTTTTATTAGATCCTGGGTAAATGTTGGTTCGTCCCCATTTCCAATCCTAAGAAAAAATTATAGTTACAATCACTATGAACACAAATAATTAGAAATGAGAAGAAAGTTGCTTCACTAACCTAAATCGCCCACAACCTCAGAAATGTTTCCAAGAAAAACAAAGCAAATCAAACCAAATACAATATCTGCATTTATATGAAAAATGTTAAAGTATTTAATCTAGACATAAAAATGTATTAGAAAGTGCACATAAATGATGCCGCCTTGAGAATGCTAAAAACATCTTTTTAGAAAAAAAGCTCCTGATAAAAATGTTTGGTCAATTATTATAATTGTTGATTTTTAGTTTATGCATTATATATTTTTCTCAATTTCAAAGATTTTTTGCTCCTGATCTGAATGAGATATCATGATTGTATGTAATATGCATATGATCAGTTATTACATGAATGTATATGACTTACATCATTCCTAAATCATTTGTTTGCTTTTGAGTACATTGATTACTTGAGAATTTTACAGCATCAATGAGACATGCAGCACCTAGGCTTGTGAAAGGGATGTAAGCTTGAAAATGATGTAATATGGAAAACGAAGAAATTGTAGGATTCCACTATTGTCATAGCTGAAACATCTGGTAACTAATAATGTAACTGAGACTGCCTTTATCAAATGCACTATCTTTATCAAGACATTAGCTTGTCCATAGAAAATGACTTGCTTATATTGTTTACAGCCTGTGTACTCAATCATTGTGCTTTTATAAAAGTATTTTTTGATCCTATTTCCTCAGCAATTCTACTTATACAGTCTTTACTTCAATTAAATTATCATAGATATTCAAAAGAGGATCGAAGACATTTTAGAATGTTTCTTAATTTAGCTTCAAATATAACTTATTGGATATAGTAGTCTTTTTGAGAAATTCTTTATTTATCATGTAGACTGATAGTCGTCATTCTTCATAAGCACACTATCCAGTAAGTTACTTAAGATTATTTATTCTGATCTTCCTCCTATAATATTTTCATACATTGCCTTCAATTGCAAAAGATAATGAACTTGGCATGGCTCTTACATAGCCGCTTATAGAATTGTTATATTTCCATCCTAATAGTAATAGTAAATTGATGATAGAAATGTAAAATACATCCTGATATAATAAGTTGTATGTATTCAACTTACTTTCTAATCTCGCTCCAGCTAAACTTTGATTTTTGAAAACCTCGTCGCTTGAAACTGCAGGAAATCGACAATTAGGGAAAAATTAGATCAAAAGGAAAGGAATGAAGAACAAAAAGGGTAAAGGTTGAATTGAGCAAAACTAAAGATTAGAGCTACGTTTTTGTGTAGCAGAGTGAACATGACTTTATGAAAATTGGTTGTTTGACATACATGACTTTAAGAAGGCTATTACTATTGTGACTGAGATAAACTTATAAGAAGGGGAGTAATATAAAATGCACTATGTTTGTTGGAAAATTTGTAGTAAAAAGACAATGAAAGAAAATTTGACTTGTATTCCTCTCAAAATCAATTACAATTTGGATTCCGATTACAAAAGAGAGGAGAATGAATTTGATTCTCCCCTTTGTTTAATTCTGGGTTCTTCACGGTGGCGATGAGATGCCTCCCTCGAATGCTCGCGTCGAGTTTGCTTCTCGTTGACGATCCGAACGTCTTGATTCACTGGAACGATGTCTTCTCCTCACGATTTGATGCTGTGAAGAACTTGCGTGGCAAGTTTTGAAATAACTCTTGACGAGTTGATAACTCTGAACGAGTTTTAGACGAACTCGTAGAGTAAGTTTTGAACTATGAGCGAGTTGATAACTCTGACGAGTTTTAGAAGAACTTGCAGAGCAAGTTTTGAACTCTGATCGAGTTGATAACTCTGAACGAGTTTGAACTCTTGAAAAAGAGTTGATTTGAACCGAAAGTTCGGTTAATAAGCCAAGGAAGAAGCTCCTGTTGCTGGTCTCCAAAACTCCTTGTTGCTGCAGAACGCGGCAAGATGCTCGATCAAGGATCCCCAAAAAGTCAGCTCCCCCCCTCCAAAAAAGAGGATCCGAACTCAGTTGAGTTTTGAGGTATTTATAGGGGGTTAAGGGTATAACTGCCCCCTTAAATATCTCTTTAATGAGGGTTTAATGGGGTCTAACTGCTCCCCATAAATCTCTCCATGATAGGGTAGTGATCCCCTAAAATCTTGGGGAGAAAACGGCTCTGGAACCGTTCAAATCGTGCTTGAACGAGTTAAACGCTGAAAACAGCGTTCTGGGCTCGAACTGTGCGTTTCTGGACCTGAAACGCACAGTTGAGGCTGAAAAACGCACAGCTGGGGCTGAAAACGCACAGCTGGAGCTGAAAAACGCAGGCTGAAAACGCACAGCTGGAGCTGAAAACGCACAGCTGGGTCTGTAAACGCACAGTTAAGGCTGAAAACGCACAGCTGGAGCTGAAAACGCACAGCTGGAGCTGAAAACGCACAGCTGGAGCGGAAAACGCACAGTTGAGCCGTTTAAAGGCTGAAAACGCACAGTTTTGTGCTGTTTTAGAGATGAACTCTGCGTTTTAGGCTGAAAACGCAGAGTTGTGCCTGTTTAAAGGCTGAAAACGCACAGTTGTGCTATTTTAGAGATTAACTCTGCGTTTTGATGTTGAAAACGCAGAGTTAAGCCTGGGCGTTTTGACTCTGTAATGCAGAGGCGAACCTTAGGCGGGCTTGGCGGGCTTCAGGCTAAGTCCAATGTTCTGACGAAGTCCAGTCTTACAGACGGACTTCAGAACACAACTTGCTACGAAGAACAGGTCATAACTTTCAAACCGTACGTCGGAATTGAACGAATTACATATGAAAATCGGCTATCTCGACGAGACGGGGCCATCCGAACCGAGCCGAAGGCTTCGGTTCGGTTCCTCCGTTTTGCCAAATTCATTACGGTTTGAGAGATATCTGCATTCTAATATGAAGAGACCGTCAATTTGTAGTCTCTTTTGCTAGAGCTTTGCACAGATCGTCCTCAAATTGTAGCCTTCTGGAAGTCGTCAGATTGTAACTTTCATCATCGGTGTTTGATGGGGGATAAGCTATCTATTGTGATTTTTAGACAGCCTACACACTAAATATTTTTTATCAAAAAAATTTAGGCAGAAAGGTGGATCAATTTCATGAATGGTGTAGCCAATTAAAAGAAGCCAAGTCCATTCCAAAGAAATAAAAAATTTATGCAAGAAAGGGCATTCCACGTGTATAAAACCTTTTTTTTCTAGAACTCCCTCTTTTAAAGGGTAGATAGATAGATGATTATTATTTCTTATTTTTGTGCCCTTGTATTTTCTTATTTTTGTTCATTATAGTTGATTTTGTACGCATTGTTAATATAATCCATGCTTCTTCACCAGGAATCATGGTAATTATCTTCCTAAAGATCTAGCAATAAGTCCGACTCAGGTTTTGCTTTTTTTTCCCCTGCATGAGATTGACTCTAACTTCTCGTAAAATGTTTCAGGTGTTTGATGCCCTTGCTATTGCCAAAATGCTTAGCGTCCCAATAGTAATGTCATATCATACCAATGTTCCAATGTGAGTCAATATGCAGCTTGTTTATTTATTTATTTTAAATTTCTTTTTTATTTTATAAATTTCATCCTTGACAAACCACTCATTGTGACCACAATGCTAGATGTGTAATTAAACACATGTTCTAACTACAATGCTAGACTTGTAATTAAACACAGGTTCTACGTATCTTGCTTTCTATCTGTGAAGTTTATGTTCATCTTATTAAGATGTTCAATATATGTGTATTCAATAATATGTAATAGAGAAAAATAGCAGCACGTAACCAGCACAGGACGAAAAAATAGAAACACATAGAGAAAGCAACACACAATGGACACACATTCCAGTACAGCACAAAGTGGTATCAGAGCAATAAGTAGGTAGTAAAATTGAGTGAGATGACAACAAGATAGTTCGTTAAGACAGCATTAGACAACACCAAATGTAGAGAAAGAAGGAGAAAACAGAATAAACACAGTAATATAGCAAATAATAAAGATCACACATTAACGGCAATGTAAGATAACACAGACAGGGAGATAGTAATAAACACATCACATCATATAGTTTATAACAGATCAAATGTAACAGAAAAGGCATGTTGCAAAATGAAATAAAAATTAAAAGGGCAAGGTGTAGACCATATCAATAACAATATGTAGTCAACATTCGAAAACAACATAAATCATAGATAACAATATGTAGTCAACATTCGAAAATAACATAAATCATAGATCATAGTAGGATATCACAATAGCAGTAGACATAAAGTATTACAATAATAGTAAGAAACAACAAACACATGAAAACACACATAACAAAGAGATGATAGAACATATAATGTATCGAGAAAATAGGTAGAATAACAAACAAAGCAATGATAATACAGTCAAAGGCACAAAGCATCAACAGGTTAATAACATAAGCACGGTAGTTCAGCGTAGTAGTACAATATGTAATATACAATTCAGGTGAACACATCAGTTAAACAGTCAGAGGATCAGAAATATCAGATACAACACACTGATAGTAGTTAGAAGTGAGAGTTAAGCAGTAGTTAATACTTACAACAAAGCATCACATTTTAGTAAATGTACAGTATAGAAGAAGGACATAAGTTATAGAGTAGTGGTATCAGAGCATCAATAAATGCAATAGACACAAGCACATAGAAGTAATAACACATAAGTACAACAAGAGTAACAAGGAACATGACAAAAGTGACCAGAGAATGTGCCAGTTATAAGAAATGAAAATCATGGTTGAAGCCTCAAAGGAGTGTTAATGGGCAAAGAGTACCAGAATGATCCTGGATGAAAAGCTTTGTTTTTATCATTTTTAAGTTTAGCCTGTACTGGGAATAAGTTACTGCCAGAGTGGAGAAAGAGTGGAGTTAGCTTGTAAACTGTTGTCAGTTCTTTTACAAGCTTTTCGTATGGTCTTTGTTTGAATTAAGTTGGCTGTGCTGTCTCACGCCCTAGAAATCACTCGCGATTTAAGATTAGCCTAGCAATCACTTAAAGAGAAGTAAATGTAGGGCACCAGCGGATGATCTTTTCACACCTATCCAATTTTTCTGATATCTGTAGCTTTTAATTAAAAAATTCTTTATTCTAATATTGAACATTTCTTAACCATTTCTCTGTATTTGATTAACATTTACTTTAGATTTTGGATGATATGCATGGTTGCCATCTCACGATGTTCACAGGTTTCAGAAGGGGATTCTGACGATGGTTATGATTCAGACACCAAGGTTAAACCCACATACTATCCCGAAGGTTGGTACATGGATGAAGATGGTCAGCTCTCATGGTTTAACGCTGGTGTCAGAGTCGGAGTTGGTATAGGCTTAGGAATGTGTGTTGGACTTGGGATTGGTGTTGGACTCCTCATGAGCTCATATCAAGCAACCACCAGAAGTTTCAAAAGACGGTTCTTCTAAACATCTGGCGTTTTCTTGCAGAAATTGCTTTGAGCAAAGCTCCTCAACTGCCTGCAATGTAGGCTCCAGTTTTGGTATGCCACTGTATAATAAGCCTTAGAATCGTAAGTGTTGAGTAGTCTGTTGTCTATCTCATTTCTTTGTGAGAGAGTTATATGCATGTAGGATGAGATGGGGAAAGTTTCAGATAAAGCACAGAAATCTAACCAGAATAGAATTTTCAGGTTTGCAGGATTGCGTGGTGTATTTGCTGTAAGTATGTGCACTTGGAAGAGGCTAACTATGCCTGTGTGCGGGGGCAAAAAAGAGCGGAAAACAGACCATGGGATGTAAATTAACGATCTGTCTCAACACTATAATCTGTTATTATGAACTGAGTTCCAGATTCTGATAGGGATATAATTTTCCATAAATAAGTTTGGTCCAGGAAAGAAGGTTGTTAACAGTTTTCTTTGGGGTAAGTAAGAGCTTACATTCTCATTTAATAGAGTACATACTCCCTGTACACTCTCAAGTGACTCAACAAACAAACAGAGTCACATCCCAATCTAAGAAAAACCTATCTATGTATACAAGATTATACTCCCTTTGCATCAAAGAAACAAAGAAATAATGTTTATATTTAAACTTCAATCAACATAAGGTATAGTACACGAATTCATAGTAAGAAGAGATGATTAGAGACTCCAGAACACAAGCGTGAGGGAATGAACAAGGTTGTTTCTCAATAAACATACTCAATATCTCACAAATCACACAAACACATACAATAAAAGTAATGGTGTCAGCAATCATATAGTAATGTTATAATATATTGAGCAACCAAAGTATATATTTACTCAGGTTTTTATGAATCTCTGTATATTTACTGCATTTTTATGAATCTAATATAGTGTATGATGGGATTTAGTCAAAGATAACAGGTTTTTTTATGATGTTATCATAGATAATATACAGAGATTCATAAAAAATGCAGAGTATGTATATTTACTACATGATCATGTTTTTAGATGTTATCTTAGATGTTATCTTAGATAATATACAGAGATTCATAAAAAATACAGAGTATGATGTTATCTTAGATGTTTTTTCGTCTCTCATTTTCTTTTTGTTGTTGTTGTTGTTGTTCTTCTTCTTCTTGACTTTTAATTCATCTGATTTTTTCCTGTCTCTCCCAGAATTTTATTGGGTTATCTTTATGATGGCTATATTGCTACAAGACAAATGAGGTAAGCATTCATGTTTCCATATCCTTGCATTAGTAATGGTGTCAGCAATCATATAGTAATGTTATAAATCACATACTAACACATTCAACAAAACCACTTAAAAAATATAATATTATCGTATATGCTGTAAACAATCTTAGACTAATGCAAGTTCTCAATAATTCACTTGCCAATCTTAGACTAATGCAAGTTCTCAATAATTCACTTGCTACTAACTATAAAGTATTTAATTTAATTTTAAAAGGATCAAATCATACCTTCGATCTTCGCCAATGATTCTCCTTCTTGATCGTAACCGATGCCCAAAATCTGAGAATTGAGGAGATGATGGCAGAGGGGTAGCGGTGATGATGAGGATAATAATACTCATCTTTGGCAATTAATGAGTTAAGAAAGTGGGACGGTGTCGCCGATGAAGAAGCGTAACCGAAGGAGCAATTTCGTAACCGAAGGAGTGGAGAATGAAAGGAACGAAGGCTAGGGCACCCGATTTCTTTAACTCTGTGTAATGATAAGGTGTAAATTTGTTATATTTATAATAGTTGAAGGGTATTTTAGGGATAGGAAAATTTTTCAAGAACTCCCTCTTTTAAAGGGTAAATAGATATCCTCTAAGTCTCTTCAACACATAATACAATACTAGACTAATTGTTGCCGATGCAATGCAACCGTACTGGATGCAGAGTACAAATTACATCGAGTGAATCTGTATTTTTAAGGATCAGCAGCAGCGTTCACCTCTTCTCTTTTATGCCAGACCACATCTTTAAGGCCCATTGACATGCTCTTATAGAACTGGATAAATCAGGAATAAAGAGAAAACAAGTTCAGATCACAAGAAATTAGGTCTACTTAGAATTCTGAGAGATGATGAGAGGAAAGCATATAATTGAAGACCTTATGGAACTCGAGTGTATCACCGTTTGCTTTACGAAGCTCTACCATACACAACGAAGGTGCTACTTCGAAAACCTTTCGGGAGAAAATTTAAAGATTATGATGATATCAAGGAAATGAACAATAAACGGTACTATATGCGAACTAAAAATTAGGTACCTCCGTTGCTATAGATAAATGACCTTTCCTTCCACTCTTTTCACCTTGCAGCTTCAACTGAGGTGGAAGTAAGATTTTGTCACTAAGAGATGCAATTATTAAGTAATTCATCAAGTAATGTATGAGTATTGACTACACCAATGTTTCGAGGAGGGGAAATACCTTATAGTTGCGTTTCTCAACATTGAAACCCAAAGGGGTGGCTGCTTGCTCGAGTTTTGAGAGTACCTCATTTGCAGGTAGTTTTGACGTAAACCTTGTTTCCCTCTTCACAAGCCCCTGCTGAATTTTTCTTGGATAAATTTGATTTATTAAAATAGTCGAGCATTAAAGCTCTAGAAACCCTCAACAAAGTGCTACGTGCATAATGTGATTGTCATTATGTTGAACTCAATTCCAAGGATTTTTGGAAGTCCTTCAAAATTGATAAATTTGCATTAAATTTAAACATAATATAATATATTTATAGGGTGATTCAGTTAAGTATGTGCATTCGTATGTTTACAACAGAAAAGTTTTTATCCTAAACTTGGTGGATTGGTTGGATGAATCTTATTCTTCCACCCATTTCTGTTAAGGTAATCTCCTCCATTAACTCGTTATGCATATGCACGAAATGTCAATAACATTCTCATTTCTCCTACACTAATTTTTTTCCACATGTTTCTTATTTGCCCAACGTTCTGATCCATAAAAAAAGAATATGCTAATTTGAAACCATACACGGACCTGGGAAAAAAGGTATGAAATTCAATGAACATGAAATGCCCTATATAAAGGACTAACCATTGGCTTCTCAAATAAGCTTCCGAGATTCAGACCCTGGGATGTTGAAATAAGTTCAAATGCATTCATCGCAGCTGGCCTTTCATCACGTCTCTCAACAACAAGATTTCTTGGCTCCTACACGATCAAAGAACACAATATTAAGAATCCTTCAACATCCACCCCAAATTCTAGCATAAAAAACATCAATAGAGTTACCACTGATTCATTGAAAATATTATTGACATCATCAAGACTAGCGTCCGCTGTTTCAAATCTGGGTGGCTGGTACCCTTTCTTGAACCACTCGTTATCTATGACCTCAGAGATGGTAATACGCTGAAAATAGCCAATACTCATCAATTAGCAGCAATATTTAAAAACTACAGTTATATATCAATTAGAAGTGAAGACCAAAACTCACTGTTCGGGGATTAGGATCCAAAATTCTTTTGATAAGTTTCTTTGCACTTGTAGAGAACCAAGCAGGGCAAGAGAACTCCGCTTTGAAGATCTAAAACCGCACCCCCAACGATCAAGAAGTAAGCTTGGCAAATCTGCTAAATTAATAGGTAGTGCATACTAACATTCATATAACTAAATCGTACCTTCTTGTACAATGACATAAGATTAGAGTCCTCAAAGGGCAGGTAACCAGCCATAAGAACGAAAAGGATAATCCCACATGACCAGAGATCTGCCTTGGCTCCATCATAACCCTTGTTGTTGATCACCTAAATAGATAGACTCACTATCAAAAATGGAAGAGCTCAGCAAATAAGTTGGGTGAGGCAATAACAAAAGTAGTTAATATTCAGGACAAATATACATTATGTGATGCACTAAAGCGTACCTCAGGAGCGACATAATTGGGAGTCCCACATGTCGTGTGAAGCAAACCGTCTTCCTGCAAGGAAAAGGTTAAAATGTTATATCTCCAGAAATGCCTCTTTTCCATCCTCTAAGTATTAAGGCTTTGGTTTAAAAAATGACCATATTTATCAAAGAGAAGTATGAGGAAAATTCACCGAACATCCCTTATTAAATGAAAGCAAATCAAAATATTAGCCATTTGCAAGCATTAGTAAAAAAATGAATTTGACTTGCAATCTATAAATTTGTATTTGAATATACAAATTCATCTGACTTACTCGAATTTGCTGTGGTAACGCACTTAAACCAAAATCCGAGATTTTAAGAACCCCACTAGAGTCCAACAGTAGGTTTTCCGGCTGTTGAGATACAAAAGAGTTATACACACAAACAAGTTGAATTTGTAACAAAGTATTATCCAAAAATAACAAAAAGCACAAAAAGAGTCTGTTCCCGTGCCTTTAAGTCCCTGTGAAATACACCTCTGCTATGACAAAAATCCACGGCATTAATTAACTGCTGAAAATATTTTCTTGCATCATCCTCCTTCAACCGTCCTTGACTAGCCTAAGGAACAACAATCAAAGAACTAGTTAGCAAACTCGTAAATGAACACTGGCATATAGTAAATATTTAAGTGCAAATAGATAGATAAAAATCTTACAATCTTGTCAAAGAGTTCTCCACCCGTAACAAGTTCCAGAACAATGTATATCTTTGTCTTGCTGGCCATCACCTACACAACGACAATCACTTGAGCTAAGGAGGTTGTCAATGACGCCAACCAAAAAAAAAATTTGGGTGCTCATAGTAATTGTAACACAAGAGAGCTTGATCTATAGTAACAATTCAACACACAAAAAAGAAAGGATGTATTTTAGCAGGAATCATCAGAGTAGAAGTCCAATAATCAATAACGAAGCTAAGGAACTGATTTACGAACGAGCCACATAATTAAGAAATTGGAATTTATAGAAATATAGTGATACCGTAATGAAGCGAGATGATGTCTACAGACATATTACAAATCTCTATCTTACCTCATGCATTCTTGTTATGTATGGGTGCCTGATAAGTTTCATGGTAGTGATTTCTGTTAGTTTGGGTGTAGACCAAACTCACCTCCGTCCGGCGAGGAGCTCCGACGAGCTCGGAGATGATGCAGGCGAAGTCGACAGGAGAACCCCCCTAGGCGAACGTCGTTCCGACCTTGGCGTTTTGGCGGTTCGAACTCTGCGTTCGCCTCCCCCTTTTCAGCTCTGCGTTCGAGCGATGGCGAGCTCTGCGTTTGGATGGCGAGCTCTGCGTTTTTGGGGGGGTCCGAACTCTGCGTTCGAACCTGACCTTTGCGTCAGGTTTAGCCGCTGGCGACAGGCTGTCGCCAGCTCTCCTCTCCGCCTATAAAAGAAAACCCAGGCTAGGGTTTTGAAGTTGCTGAGCTTCCCCCCCTTTTCTTCCGATTCTTTCTCTCTGGCGGCGGCGGCGAACTGCCCTAAAACGCAGCAGCGTTTTCCCCAAATCGCAGTAGCGATTTCGATTTTTCTCCAGCTCTCAAAGGGGAATTTTGAGGGGAGATTAAAAGAGAGATTAAGAAGAGAGAGAGGAATTAAAGTGGGGTTTATATTGTGGGGTATTTATTCTCAAGTGAGAATTGAAAGGGTTCATACCCTTTGATTATTAACACTGTAGCTACAGTGTTTATTTGAGAAATCTCTTGATTTGTAATTTCTTGTTTGATTAATAAGAAATTATCTGTGTGGCTCCCGAGGACGTAGGCAGTTGCCGAACCTCGTAAATCTTGGTGTACCTTTTTCTATACTGTGTTTCTGTTGCATTAGGGGTTTCAGCGTTATATTCCCAACAACTGGTATCAGAGCGTGAAACGATCTAGAGAAAGTCAGATTCAAGTGGGAGTCATGGCCACAGATGAGGCAAAAATGAGACTTGAGAAATTTGATGGAACAGATTTCGGATTCTGGAAAATGCAGATAGAGGATTATCTGTATCAGAAAAATCTGTATCAACCACTATCGGGGAAGAAGCCAGATTCTATGAAGGAAGAAGAGTGGAACCTTCTAGATAGACAAGCCCTCGGAGTTATCAGATTGACGTTGACTCGCAATGTTGCGTTCAACATAGCAAAGGAGAAGACCACGGCAGGTCTTATGGCAGCTCTCTCAAATATGTATGAGAAGCCATCAGCCGCGAACAAAGTTCATTTGATGCGGCGGTTGTTCAATCTGAAAATGGCGGAAGGCGCGTCAGTAGCACAACACCTCAATGAACTTAATACGGTTACAACCCAATTGAGTTCAGTTGAGCTTGAGTTTGATGATGAAGTTCGGGCGTTGATACTTTTATCTTCCCTACCAGAGAGTTGGAACGCTACAGTCACAGCTGTGAGTAGCTCGTCGGGAAACAATAAGTTGAAGTTCGACGACGTTCGTGATTTGGTTCTCAGTGAGGAGATCCGACGGAGAGAAACGGGTGAAGCTACAACCTCTTCAGTATTGCATACAGAGTCAAGAGGTAGAAATTCAACCAGAGGAAACGGACGAGGAAAATCAAACTACAGAGGTAGATCAAAGGACAGGAGGTCCAAATCAAGGAATCCAAGCAACAGCTCGAAGGCTATCGAGTGTTGGAATTGTGGAAAGACCGGGCATTACAAGAATCAGTGCAAGAGTGCACAGAAGGAGAAGGAGGCGAAGGCAGAGGTGAATGTCACCTCCACCTCAGGAGGAGACGACGCATTGATATGCTCTTTGGAGAGCAAGGAGGAATCTTGGGTGTTAGATTCAGGAGCGTCGTTCCACGCTACTTCTCAGAAAGAATTCTTCAAGAAGTATACTCCCGGAAATCTTGGATACGTATATCTTGGTGATGATCAACCATGTGCTATTGTGGGCAAAGGCGTGGTGAAAATTAAGTTGAACGGGTCAGTATGGGAGCTGAAGGATGTCAGGCATATTCCCGACCTGAGAAAGAATTTAATATCCGTAGGCCAGTTGGCTGGCGAAGGATACACCACAACCTTCCATGGAGATGATTGGAAGATCTCAAAGGGCGCAATGACAATTACCGGAGGCAAGAAGACTGGTACCCTGTATATGACAGCAGGTGCACATTGTTCGATCTCAGTTGCAGCTAGCAATGAGACCTCAAAGCTGTGGCACCAGAGACTCGGTCATATGAGTGAAAAGGGGATGAAAATCATGCACACAAAGGGAAAACTCCCAGGACTGCAGTCAGTGGAGATGGATATGTGTGAAGAATGTATACTTGGAAAGCAGAAGAGAGTCAGCTTTCAGACAAGTGGCAGAACCCCCAGGAAGCAGAAGCTAGAGCTCGTTCACTCAGATGTTTGGGGACCAACCACCACTGCGTCGATTGGTGGGAAACACTACTTCGTGACTTTTATCGATGATCACTCTCAGAAAGTGTGGGTCTACTTTCTGAAGCATAAGTCAGAAGTATTTGAGGCTTTCAGGAGATGGAAAGCTATGGTCGAGAATGAGACCGGTCTGAGAATAAAGAAGCTCAGGACCGACAATGGCGGTGAGTATGAAGACACCGGATTCAAGAAGTTCTGCTATGAGCACGGGATCAGAATGGAGAGAACCGTGCCCGGCACGCCTCAGCAAAATGGAGTAGCTGAGCGAATGAACCGAACGTTGACGGAGAGAGCCAGAAGCATTCGAGTACAGTCAGGCCTACCGAAGCAGTTCTGGGCAGAAGCGGTCAACACAGCAGCTTACTTGATCAACCGAGGTCCATCGGTTCCATTGGAGCACAGAATACCAGAGGAGGTATGGTACGGAAAGGAGGTAAAACTCTCACATCTTAAAGTTTTCGGTTGTGTAGCTTACGTGCATATTAGTGATCAAGGCAGGAATAAGCTTGATCCCAAGTCAAAGAAATGCACTTTCATCGGCTATGGTGAAGATGAGTTCGGCTACCGCATTTGGGACAACGAAAACAAGAAGGTGATCCGGAGCAGAGATGTGATATTCAACGAGAAGGTGATGTACAAGGACATGCACAAGACAGATGACTCAGAGAGCGAGTCAATATTTGTAGATGCAGATGATGTCCCGAGTAACCTCTCGGAAGAACCCAATGCAGAGGGTCCTCAGCAAGAAGAGCCTGTTGGACAAGATGGTGCGCAGGAGCCCAACGCACCAGCTCCGATATTAAGAAGATCTTCTCGTCCTCCTGTACCCAACAGGAGATACATGAACTATCTGTTGTTGACAGATGGTGGGGAGCCTGAAAGCTTTGATGAAGCTTGTCAGTGTGGAGATGCGAGCAAGTGGGAGCTTGCAATGAAAGATGAGATGAAGTCTCTCATATCAAACCAGACGTGGGAACTAGCTGAGTTGCCCACGGGTAAGAAGGCACTCCACAACAAATGGGTGTACCGGGTGAAAGAGGAGCAGGATGGTTCCAGAAGATATAAAGCCCGGCTAGTTGTCAAAGGTTTCCAGCAGAAGGAAGGAATTGACTACACCGATATTTTCGCTCCCGTGGTGAAGCTAAATACTATCAGGACCGTGATGAGTATTGTAGCAATTGAAGATCTTCATCTCGAGCAGTTAGACGTGAAGACGGCGTTTCTTCACGGAGATCTAGAAGAGGAGATATACATGCACCAGCCAGAAGGTTTCTCAGAAGAAAAGAAGAAGAACCTGGTGTGCAGACTCAAGAAGAGCTTGTATGGCCTGAAACAAGCCCCAAGACAGTGGTACAAGAAGTTTGACGGCTTCATGCACAAGGAAGGTTTCCAGAAGTGCAACGCCGACCACTGTTGCTACTTCAAAAGATATCAGTCCAGCTATATCATCCTACTGCTGTATGTTGATGATATGTTGGTTGCAGGAGCAGATATGGAGGATATCAGAAGCTTGAAGCAGCAGCTGTCAAAGGAGTTTGACATGAAGGACTTGGGTCCAGCGAAGAAGATCCTTGGAATGCAAATCACGAGAGATAAGAAGAGAGGTCTCTTGCAGTTATCTCAGACGGAGTACATCAACCGTGTTTTGCAGAGATTCAACATGGGCGACGCCAAGCCTGTGAGCACACATTTGGCCAACCATTTTCGTCTATCGAAGGATCAGTCTCCTCAGTCAGAAGAAGAGAAAGAGAGTATGGCTCAGGTACCTTACGCCTCAGCTATCGGAAGCTTGATGTACGCTATGGTCTGTACGAGACCAGACATTGGCCATGCAGTGGGAGTGGTCAGCCGGTTTATGTCGAATCCAGGAAAAGCTCATTGGGAAGCGGTCAAGTGGATTCTGAGATATCTACGAGGCACCACACAGAAGTGTTTGCACTTTGGTAAGGGAGAGGTAGAAGTGCAAGGGTACGTAGATGCAGACTTTGGAGGTGAAGTTGATCACCGAAGAAGCACCACCGGCTATGTATTCACCGTTGGAACTACAGCTGTTAGTTGGATGTCACAGGTACAGAAGATCGTTACCCTATCCACTACAGAAGCTGAGTATGTTGCAGTGACTGAAGCCAGTAAAGAGATGATATGGCTTCAAGGTTTGTTGACAGAGCTGGGATTCAAACAGGAGAAGAATGTTTTGCACAGTGATAGCCAGAGTGCGATACACTTGGCGAAGAATTCAGCATTTCATTCTAGAACGAAGCATATTGCGCTTCGGTACCACTTCATCAGATCCCTGTTGGAAGATGACGTGTTGAAACTGGAAAAGATTCCAGGAAGTAAGAATCCAGCAGACATGTTAACAAAGACGGTGACAGTTCAGAAAATGGAGTTGTGCGCAACTTCAGTTGGCCTTCATGCATAGATGATGAGGGCGGAGCCACACAGGAGAGGAGCTTGATGAGATAGCCCGTTAACGACGGTTTGGTCTCCAAGTGGGAGATTGTTAGTTTGGGTGTAGACCAAACTCACCTCCGTCCGGCGAGGAGCTCCGACGAGCTCGGAGATGATGCAAGCGAAGTCGACAGGAGAACCCCCCCCAGGCGAACGTCGTTCCGACCTTGGCGTTTTGGCGGTTCGAACTCTGCGTTCGCCTCCCCCTTTTCAGCTCTGCGTTCGAGCGATGGCGAGCTCTGCGTTTGGATGGCGAGCTCTGCGTTTTTGGGGGGGTCCGAACTCTGCGTTCGAACCTGACCTTTGCGTCAGGTTTAGCCGCTGGCGACAGGCTGTCGCCAGCTCTCCTCTCCGCCTATAAAAGAAAACCCAGGCTAGGGTTTTGAAGTTGCTGAGCTTCCCCCCCTTTTCTTCCGATTCTTTCTCTCTGGCGGCGGCGGCGAACTGCCCTAAAACGCAGCAGCGTTTTCCCCAAATCGCAGTAGCGATTTCGATTTTTCTCCAGCTCTCAAAGGGGAATTTTGAGGGGAGATTAAAAGAGAGATTAAGAAGAGAGAGAGGAATTAAAGTGGGGTTTATATTGTGGGGTATTTATTCTCAAGTGAGAATTGAAAGGGTTCATACCCTTTGATTATTAACACTGTAGCTACAGTGTTTATCAGAGAAATCTCAGTTTTGAGATACGCTCCTAAATTGTAATTTCTTGTTTAATTAATAAGAAATTATCTGTGTGGCTCCCGAGGACGTAGGCAGTTGCCGAACCTCGTAAATCTTGGTGTACCTTTTTCTATACTGCGTTTCTGTTGCATTAGGGGTTTCAGCGTTATATTCCCTAAGAAATTGGAATTTATAGAAATATAGTGATACCGTAATGAAGCGAGATGATGTCTACAGACATATTACAAATCTCTATCTTACCTCATGCATTCTTGTTATGTATGGGTGCCTGATAAGTTTCATGGTAGTGATTTCTCGTTTGATCTGCAGAATATAACATGTAAAACTGTTAGCGTGGACGACATATTATGATGCAAATTGATTTGTGAACATACATAATCCAAAAGAACTGTGTATTACGATTTAGGATAACGTCCAAACAAATTAAAAACTGGCTTTGATCTAAGATATATTGTTTTCATGATATTAGACCCCCAAATTGGCCTTTATTTTGACACGTACAAATTTTATTAAAACAACTAAAATATTTGATTGTCTAATTCCAACCAAAAAAAAAAAAAGAGGTCCAGGATCTAATATAAAAAACGGCTATCTTGAAGTTCTAACTCGCTACTTGTCTCTGCAATTAATTAACATGTAGTGTGGATCACACAAGCAACTGATCCAGTACTTCACAAGCAAAAATCATATGACAAAATCCAGCCTGATAAAATCTCTTCGATAATGAGCCAACCCAAACTGAACAGCAAGCAATAAAAGGTTTTTTAAAAAAAAAGGGCTAAAATGCACTTAAATACCACAAAGTTTCCCAAACCCTGTCCAAGTTATATTTTGTGGCAGAAAAGTACTATAAATTGTTTTTAAAAAATGGGCACGTTAGTACCATCGATCATGCATATAGTACCGTCGATCATGCAAACGTAAAAAATTTCACCCCGAATGCTCCCACATGACATTAACATGTTAATTAATTTTATACATTAATTTTTTTTTTAATATATTATCATTAGACACATGCCAAGTCTATTTTAAAGTAGAATTAGTTCATCTTTTTATTCTGAAAGAGACGTACAGCCTTCCTTCCCCAATTAATGTAGAGAGCGCAACAAATAATACCAACCAAAACTTTCAATAAACAGCAAAATTTTAATCTTTTTGTCGGGTAAAAACTCAAAGAACTGACCTGGCCGAGCATTTTATGCTTCAAGACTTTATCTTTGTCGAGAATCTTGATGGCCACGTGTTCACCAGTCTCCGTGTTTCTAGCAAACTTCACCTTCGCAAAATTCCCCTCTCCCAGCGTCCTCCCCAGCTCGTACCTCCCCACCCTCGTCCTCGCACCTCCATTCATCTCAGCCCGTTAACCCGTTAACCCGCTAATCAAGCTTTTCAAAGCAAAATTTACCCGCAAAGATCGGATTTTTAACGGTCAGGATCGCTTCTTTATGATTCAATGGCGAGCGAGAACTGCGAGGGTTCGCGTTTTGGGTTCTCGTGAGAGAGAGAGAAGTTTCCTGGTCGCTGACGCAGAGAGAGAGAGAGAGAGAGAGAGAGATTGAGGACTCTGGTCTCTGATGATGAGAGTCGTTTTATAGAAGTACGCGGGCTCTGATGATTTGACCGCTGTTTTTCGTGGGCTGGATCTTTGGTGTTGGGTAAAATGATCCGTTAATTTCTATTCTGGGTTAATTGCAAAAAAAATCCCCTTAAGTTTGCCTGATTTGCGAACAAGTGACCTCTGTTTTAAAAGTGAGAAAAAAAAGCCTAAAGTTTCCTCTGTGTAAATAGACTACTACAGTTAAATAATTTCCTAAAGATCAAATCAATGGTTAAAAAAACCCTAATTTTGGGTTTAATAGCCTAAAGTTTCCTATGTGTAAATAGACTACTACAGTTAAATAATTTCCTAAAGATCATTAATGATGGCCAACTCATTATCCAATAGGAGAAGGACATCTCACTTGTCCCAATTATTGGTCTCATATTTTGGGTCCCTGTAGCAAAGCTCTATTTATTTTCATGCTTGTAGAGTAGATTTAATTTCATGTCTTTACTTTCTTGCTTTAAATTATTGCATTTATTTATTATAATTTATTTTATGGTTTAGATTTTATTTTCTTACAGTATTCGCCTTGAGGTTAGAACCCTATTGGGATTAGTTTTTATTTTTATTTATTTATTTTTCCTTGATTCACCTTGAGTCTAGCTAGAACCCTTTAGGGAATTGCTATTTTTTTAAAGATGTGAAACTAATACTTGTGGGAACTCTAGAAATTGCATGAAACTAGTTACTGGATTCAATTCTAGATTCATCATATCTCTAATTGAATCCTCCATCTTTTACTTTTTTATTTTTCTCTTTATTCTTGATTTTTCTCTCATGTGTTTCTTGATTTTATACCCTTCATATTTCTTTCTTCCCTTTTGTTAGTTTTGTTTACATTTACACTTTGGGGCTGTTTGGTTCATTTTTTAACTCGGTGGAAAAGTTTTTCACCGCCTCCACATCAGATTTTTCGTGGTCACGTAGGATATAAGTTTTCCGTCGGTTTTTTTCTCATCTTTGGTTCGCTAGGGTTGAAGAAGGGAAACTCGGTAAAAATCGCCGCCACATCAGATTTTTTTCTCTCCCCCAATTCCTTACTCAACCTCGTGAAATCGATGAAAACTGCAGCCACGTCGGCTTTTTGCCATATAAACAAAAGTTTTCCCTTTTTTCCATGCGAACCAAAAGAAAACTGCAGCCACGTCGGCTTTTTGCCATATAAACAAAAGTTTTCCCTTTTTTCCATGCGAACCAAACACAAGAAAAATAAATACATTGGTTTCCCACCATTTTTTTGTGTGAACCAAAGTGAAACAATCTATTTCTTGGAAAAGTTTGGAAAACTCAAAACTTATGTTTTTTTACATAGAAATGTATTTCCTTATATCTAGAAAACGAACCAAACAGCCCCTTTATCACATCCACTTTTTATCTCTCCACTCTCAATCTCGTTTTGTTTTTATTTACATACAATCACTCTCACTCTTTCTATCTCTCCACAATCACATTCATCACTCCTAATTGTCACATATACAACATAAGAATCAATTTTAATTTTCTCCTACAAACACCTTACTTGTGAGATCGATAACTTTTTATACTATAACTTGATTAGCTGTGCAATTATAACTTTAGAGGTATACATTTATGTTCTGTCATGGGGCCTTGAGGATTGTGAGGTTGCCTTGATGCTTGCTATTTAACAAAAGAAATTTTGGGAGATAAAAAATGAGAGAATTTGGTAAGATTTAGAAGGAAAGGGGTAAATATAGAAGAGGGTGGTTTAATTGTAATTATAATGAACCATAGGGGTATAGAAATTGAAGAAAATTTCACATCACAGCTCACATGGATGTATACCTAGAATATTAACGGTAGGGCATTCACATCACATGCGACCTTTTAAAACTTCATGATATTTAACTACGAAGGCTATAGAACATTGGGGTATCCAAGTGCAATCTTTTCAAATATTGGGTCACTTATTTGCTCACTTTTAAACCAATGGTCACATATTTGCACGTGGGGCAAACTTTAGGGCATTTTTTGGCAATTCATCCTCGTATATTCTAGGAAAAAGAAGAAATTTTTACCACACCATAAAATTAGGTTTACTTTTCTAAATTGTCTCTGAATTACATCTCGAAGCTGCTGAAAATTTTCACATGTTACATATTAGAGATGCAAGTAGAACTTATTCAATTTATCTTTTAAGAAGAATTCTACTTTCTCATTCATTTCTGTTAAACTCCATTTTCCCATTAAGTTAATCGACCCTCTGATGAATGTTTTTAAAAATTCAATTTATGAAGAAATAGGATTTCTGTTGGTTGTCGGTTAATCGATACAAGTCCTATGTAAATTATGCACATATTTTTCAAACAACATAACATAATATATATTACAAGTACATTATTTAGACCATACAGCGTGCTTCGAAATCTATTCAGTAACATATTTTTCCACGCAAGCGACAAAAAGTATTGAAATTACATAGAAATTGTGTGTACGAAGTGATGTAAGATTGTCTCTAGAAGCACAAACGTCACAATTTACATAAAATTATGCAAACAATAATCACGATGTTAACCTAACCCCAAGCAAGCATACATAGAAAGAGACTGCTTATAAATAAACAAGATCAGGTTAAAGTTAGGTGACCAACGTGCAGTGTGAACGTGCATTTATGAAGTTTGAAATGGAACACCAAACTCTATTATCATACTTTTTTTAACATTTCTTTTTATGCGGCTCAATGTGCTTGACTAACACATTAATGAAATATTTTCTATACATTTAAGCCTTGTTTGTTGATGCATCTCTAGTACAACCTCGTATTATTTGTTTTTTTACCCCTTTGATGGGCTAACGCGTCCCTTTGGGATCGCAGTGAACCTAACTTCGTCGCTACATGGGCCAACCTGGTACAGATCCCAGTTCTATATCGTCCACTATATTGTCTAAGGGGGTGTTTGTTTCACCAAAAAATTTGGCATTCGGTATGGATTATAAGTTTTAGGATCAAAAAGTGAGTTTTTTTGTATTTTGGGATTCCATATATGATGTTTGTTTTCAAAAAAAAAATAGAATATTAAATCTCAAAAGTGTAAAAAGTGCCCAATTTTTAGAATTTGCCAAATCGTTTCAATTGGACAGGATTTTGACAAATCCCTTAAATGGATGTGCTTACCTCTCAATTGGAGAGGATTTGACAAATCCCAATTTTATCTTTTTGTGGGAGGTAACCTCACCAAGATAGCATACTCATCATATTATAAAATTTTGGTATTTGGTAATGCTATAATTTAAGCTTGAAACAAATAAAATATTATAAATTATAGTATTCCAAATCTCAAAATATTAATGAAACAAATAATATTTTAGAAATCACAAGCCATAACAAAACATCTATGGATTTCAAATATCATGGTAAAATCTATATCCTAAAATTATAGGATTTGAAACAAACACCCCCTTAGACAACCAACACTTCACCTCGTGCACGTGGGAGAACATTAAATCATACTCTCTAAAGAGAACGAGCTAGAAAAAATGTTTTTTCAATATTAATATTACTTTTTATTATTTTAAATATTTTATTTAAATATTAATTTATTCTAATCTTAATTATATCGTATATTAATCCCACATCAACTATCTATAACTTAAACAATTTAAAAAATAAGATTAATAGACTACATGAAATACAATTTTGAATATATTATTTTAAATATTTCATTAAAATTTAATCTATCCTAATACTAATTGTATCCTATACTAATCCTACGTGAACTACCTATAGGTCAACAATTTAAAAAGAATAAGATTAAGTAATTATATATACCTAATATATTATAATACATGAAGTAATACAAAAACCCAAAAAGTTTCAAAAATTACACAAAATACCTTTAAAAGTTTAAAATTATTCAAAACACACTGAATTTTTAAAACTTAAAACAACAAATATGTCAGCTATCCTTCAAAAGAATCAAGTTGTTTTTATTTCAAATGGAGAAGTGAAGGAAATAAACCCAAAGTTTAAAAACGTTCATGTGTCACTTGAATTGACATTGACAAAAGACATATATATCCAAGTATCATCGATTAAGTTCCCCTTAAATAATATATTAAACATTTTTTTCCCAATCAAACAAGTATCGTCCATAGAAAATATAAGAAAATTTGTAAGTTTTTATAGATTTTCATACTTTATTTTCAAATACTAAAAAATCATAAACTTAATATAAAATTACATAAAAATAATCTTACAATAGAAACTAAAGTAAAGCATTTGATCAACTATGTTGCGAGAGATAATTAGTCACATAAGAGGAGAAAATCACTATAATAGACAAAAGGTATACACACGATGCGTATTTTGCATAAGTAAAAAAAATTAAAATTGACCTTTTCCTTTTTCCTATACAATGGCATGACTTTGCGTGAAATTTTATTTGGGTATATAACTATTAACAAAGGATCAATTCTTGAATACACGATCAAAGATAAGCATGTAATAGCACTGTCAGGTTTTAAGATCTTTAAATACAAAGGTAACATATTTCATTACTAAAATTCTTATTAAATGACATTAAACATAAAATTCACATTATATATATATATATCAAATTTATAGAGGAGATATGCACGTCATTGTAAATTTCGTTAATAATATATATCAACCTAAATATACAACTTACTGAAGAACTAAGAGAATAGTAAGTAAACCAAGCAAAGATCCATATAACACAATAAAAAATATTATATTTTCAAGCTAATATGCATGGCTCATTAGAACAAGTTATCAAGATAAAAGCATCTCCATCAAGGCTCTTTACAAATACAACATAGATTCAAATTACTAATATATGTAATCATCACAATAATCAAAAGAGGCGTGATCTTATAGGACCTACTCTAACATTCACACGATTAAGCCTAAAATAGTTACCAGTATACATGCACACTATTGCATCTATAATATAAAGATAATTATCATTTATAATAGAGTTAAATCATGGTT